TGCTTCAGAGTGATAAATGAAACTCTATTTTATTTTTCGTCTCTCTCTCCCACATTTTATCTATCTATCTATCCGTCTATCCATGTATGCATTTCTCTCTCTCTCTTTCTCTCTCTCTCTCTCTCTCTCTATCTCTTACTAGCACTCTCCGACACTCGACTCGAGTCCGAAGTTCGTAACGATCGATGTTCCCGCCCTGCCGTATATACCGAGCGCGATGAAACGTTAATGCAGCGAGGATCGCTCGTCCGTGCCAGGAATTTCGGATTTCCCGTGTACCGCCGCCGATTGGCCGCTCATATTCGCTGCGTTTGCCGCCGTTACGAATTAAGAGGGTCGGCCCGCCGTCGATTTTCCTCCTCCTAGCAGCCGATTTCACGATCGAGATTTCCTCTCGCGCAAGCAAACCAGCCAAGGGAGGCATATGCGGATTGTTTTCCCAAGTTTACGTCGAGATTCAGAAATATCTTGCCCGATGAATATTTAGAAATGTATTTTTTCTAAACGACAGCACCGTCTATCTCGATACTTTTTTCCAACTCGTGCATTTTGAACATTAAATTTCGCGATAATTAAGCGAGGCTAAATTAATTGAAAAATCGATAGAAATAATATTTTGTTGTCTATTTGATTTAAATTTAAATTTTCCATGCTAAATGATTCTATAATTAATCGCGGTATAAGTTTTCGAAGAGAAAACGAATTTGTTGCGCATCGTTAGAAACACCTTGTAGATGGAAGACGGCGCGACGGAAAACCAGGAAGCGAGGAGAGAGAAAAAAGAACGAGCGTCGACGGCGAAAGTGTGTCAAGAAGGGTAAGAGAGGAAAGTCTCTTCGACGACAAACTCGCCACCCGTGATGTGACTTTTTTATACTCGGCGCTTAAGCTCGTGGCTGAAAACGCGACTGACAAAGTGAAGTTTTCGCGACAGAAAGTCGACGATCGCGAGACGAATTTTATCACCTTGTCAAAAAGAGAGAGGGACGGAAGGGAGAGAAAGAGAAAAAAAGAATTATTTATTTATTCTCGGAGCACACATAACATAAATGATAAAGTGGCACGCAATAAAATGTGATAATAAAATATTCTTTTAAAGAATATTCGTCCCATTTGTTGTATTCGTTTTACACGTGTCATATTATTTCTAACAATTTGTCATATTATTATAAATTGGAGAACACTTGTTAAAGGCTTATATTTGAATGTTAGATTTTCCATAGCTTGTAATAATACGATAAATAATATCGAATTGAAACGGCAGTTACGTTATACAATAAACAGTCAAACAGTATATAATAACATTGGAATATGATCGATAGAATTAATATCGTTGAAGAGAAGAAAAGGTCGCTTCAAAATAGATTCTAATAAATAATTAATTTGGGCGAGAGAGAAAAATGTGGAGCGGTTCCGTTAGAAAGTGCGATGCATGAGATAAAAATATAATAGTTTCTATCGGCTCACGGAGAAAAAGGAGAAAGTGGATTAGGACGAGGAGGGAGGTAAGGTAGATCGGATTTTGCATAAATGCGATGCGAGAAGCTCCGAAGGGTCCGTTCGATCTATCGATGCGAGAATCTCGACACGGCTCACAATGAAACACGTATCGAACGCGAGATTTCTTATTGTTTCCGGCGATTTGTCGTATCTCGCCGATCAGAGTTGTTCCTCTCAAAGAGAACCTGGAACGTGTGTGTGCGAGGAGGAAGAGCGGGAGGGGTGTACGAGAGATCACGAAAAGAAAGACTCTCGCGGGAATAAGCGTAGTAGTAGTAGTCGTAAATTTATATTTAGAATCTAGGACGAGAACTACTCTTTAAGAACGGCTCTGAACGAACAAAGAGAGTTAACTGATAACGGTATTAATCTCAAATTGACCGAGATACTTGCAACAAACATACCTGTACGTATCTGTGAAATTTATCAAATTATAAAACTTTTACCAAGTACAAATTTTTAAGGGATAAAGCTGCCTCGGTATTATCCTCGCGTTCTTTATTCGATCTACTTTAATGATTCACTTACCCTGAAAAGCGGACCATCTAGATATCTTACAATATTGGAAATCTCTCTCGCAAACTATACGAGCCTCAGGTATCGATACTTGCGAGAAATTTTTGCGCGTTCTCGGACAAAAAAAAAACAAAAAAAGAACGGTGAAATATGGAGGAAGGGGAAGGGGGAGATGAGAGGAGAGGGAAGGGGGAGGCGAGCACGGAACGGGTGCATGAAGCCGACCGAACGGGATGCACGTGCAGGTGCATCGGTAGTGGGGGGCAAACGGGAATTCGCGCTGTCGCACCCGCGCATTTACCCCACCCCCTCGTCGCAGGGCGCAGGATTACGGTACCACCCCTGCCGCCCGGTATACCCAGGCCCTCTGTTTTTAGTCCCGCTTTTTTTTCGCCGATTGGCCGCCCGTCCCGCCGGCCGGCCGGCGATGCGCCGTTCGCGGATCGGACTCGCGTGGGCGTTCGTTTTCGACGCATCGTGTTACATTTATCCTGCGCTACTGCACTACACGATTCCTGCTTCCGAGAGACGTTCGCGATTTAACCACGGGAGGAGACCCCCGAATGCATACGGGCCATCGCTCGTCGTATCGTTCCCGGAAAAAGAAGTCTCTCTCTCTCTCTTTCTTTTGTTCGCGGAATTATATATTTATCTGCGTTAAAGATATATCATTTACTTGATTCAATAACACATATCACTTGATTCAATTAAAATTTGTAATTTATCGATTAAATAATTATTAAATGGTCATATGCATGTCGCGATTGTAAATCGTCTTAGATTAGAGAAAACTGGATGCGTAGCGAAAATTTTCATAACTGTTATATATTCTTCTCGTAACGTCATTTTCTCCGAATGCTCCGAGAGCCAGAAATAGTAAATTGAAGAAAAAATATATATAAATTTTTACCTGCATAAGTTTGAAGAATTTAAAAATACATTTAATCAGGAGCGAAAAAAGAAATAATTTATTTAATCACATTGCTAGATTAAAATTATAATTTTTTATCAAGCTTTATATTTAAATCTCTTCAAAATTTTATCTCGATAAAAAACTGATGGCTATATAATATTTACATACTAAATATATAACATGTTATTGAATCACTACACATCGAGCATTATATTAGAGCATTATATTAGAACTGAAAACAATAACATTACTCGCTTATGCTTACCGATACGTAGTATTTTCGCTGTTCACGTTTCGCTGCACTTCAGTCGCCCATTTCGCCGCATATTAAATCCAATTAAATCCAATTGACAGACCTCCGGACACGTCACTTTGTACTATTGCAAATTAATACACAGATCACTCGCGTACTCGATACACAAATGCCCGATATCAATTCGACACTCGCGATTTACTTTCGACGTAAACAGAGAAATCGTAGGGGGCGCAGCAAACTTTTCTTTGCGACTATCATTGTCGAGTCGTTTTACACGTAAACGTAAGGAGCATTTTCGCGTGCCTACGACACTCGGAATCCGTACTAACCGCTCGAATAAGTTATGCCACTTTCGAATTTCAATTCGCGCGCGTTCGCTAACGTCTCGAATTACAATCTCCCGCATCGATCGCTACAACAGAAGATCCACTCTGGAATTCGGCACTAGCATACTCGCTTGATATTAATTCGACACACTCGACGTTCGTTCGCACTCGCGATTCACTTTCGACGATAAAAGAGCGCGGCCCAACCTCAATTTTCGTCGCTACGAATAAGTCAAGAAAGGCCATTTTCGCGCGACTATGGCGTCGCAATTCGAGCTCAATGCGCACTTGTTGCCGGTCGCGACGCTCGCTCCGCCGCATCTGCCGCTGCTCCAAATCGCCACGATAGCGCGAGATAATGCGCAAAGACCCTCGTACTATCGATACGACACTCTCGACGCTCGTTCGCGCTCGCGACGACGGAAAAGAGCGAAAAAAATGGGAAAAAGTACGACTGCCGACGAAACGTCGACAAACCGGCGAGAGACTGGACGTTACACTAGCGCCGCACATGCGCAGTTTTTTACTGCACTTTTGAACTCAACCGACGCCTAATTCGCGCATTAATCAGCGAATAAATGGAATCTAATGAACAATAGTCCCGACTGTACGGCTAAAAGTAATCGTTATTTTTCGCAGAACAGTCGTGAATATCGTTCGCTATTTTCCACGATTATTCGCCGATTAACGCACGAATTAGGCGTCGGTTGATTTCAAAGGTGGCGCACATACGCGGCGCTAGTGTAGCGTCCAGTCTCTCGCCGGTTCGTCGTCGTTTCGCCGGCAGTCGTGCTTTATCCGATTTTTTCCGCTCTTTTTCGTCGTCTGAGGTAACTCGCGAGCGCGAACGAGCGTCGAGAGTGTCGTATCGACAGTGAGAGTCTCTTTGCGCGTTATCTCGCGCTATCGTGATGATTTGGAGCAGCGGCAGATATGGCGGAGCGAACGTCGCGACCGGCAACAAGTGCGCATTAAGCTCGAATTGTGACGCCGTAGTCGCGCGAAAATGATCTTTCTTGACTTATGCACGACGACGAAAGTCGAGATTGCGCGCTTTTATCGTTGAAAGTGAATCGCGAGTGCGAACGAACGTCAAAGTGTCAAATTAATATCAAACGAGTATCCTAGTGCCGAATCAACATTGAGCGAATCTTCTAATCGACGTGCGACTTCGGCGACATTCGAAGCGATAATACTCGATGGCGTCGAGATGTTACAATGTCGAAGGAAAAACACTCGCTTTTTTCTCGAGTAGGCGGGAGGGGGAAAGCCCCGCGGCGTCATATCATGCGCGGGACGCTGTGTGTGTTGTGTACGTGACCTCCGCGTTCGACACATTTTACGTGTTACGTGGAGAAAGAAGACGCATCGACACTTTACAAGCTTGGAGACGATATATGTATCAATCCTCGCTTTCTCTCCGAGAAGGACTCTCGCCCTGTTCCTTCTTCGTTCGACGCATTTCCTGAGAGAGAAGACAAACTCGATCCTTCCGCTTTAAGGACAATCTTTTCCCAGCTGCGTTCTATCCGACTAGAAAGTTTCGAGAGGTAGGTTCAAGTTTATTTCCATCCGTTTATTTCTCTTTTTTTTTTTGACGCTCTTTGTCTTTTTTTTATATATAATATTTTCATTAAAATATCACACTTTATTTCGCTGCTCTCTAGTAATATTTAAAAAATCTTAACAGTCGAGTCTTATATTGTTGCAAGTTTTAAAAATATTTCATCATATACTCTATCTCTCAATTTACTTTTTTCGCTCTTTATAATTTTGAATAATTCTTACATGTTCTATTTTCTCTCCGCGTGACAATTTTTGTAGAAAATCTTTTAGCATTATCGACGGCGCGAAATGCGATTGTGTGTAAGATATAAAATTGATTGCACATTTTCTTATTCGTACTGAAATGGATCTGAATTGTAGTATTCGCGACCAGTCTATTTAATAATCTATAAATTGTGAATAAAATAGGCAGACAGTAGATACTTGTTACCTTTTCTAATAGTCATGACAGGAAATTGTAGTCTGCAATTTAGTTTGCCTTTTGATTATTCGATCACAGAGGGTAGGAGCTCAAAAAATTAAAGTCGACACATAACCGAACTATTATAAGCTAAAAAAATCAGCTGAATAATACAACTAAATTTTCTACTTCCGTCGATGTGCTTATTACGAGAGCTCATAATCTAGCAGTATTTCAAAATTTTATAAACGCTCCAATTTTTTTTTTTTTTTGTAAAGAGATATTCGTCATCGTTACAAGCTCACGATCATCTTACGTGTTGATATATTCCGAAAAACATATGAAACGTTTTAAAAACACAATTGACATTCTTTAAATGAATAAAAAAGAGCAGAGACTTGTGTTCCTGTTTTATGATTGACACGTTGTTTCGCAAGATTGCGTCACTCGCAAATGCGTTATAATGGTATCTTTTCATTTTCACGCGATTGAGGAGAGAGTGAGTTTTGTTTTTGTAGGCGGGACGCGGAGACAGTTCTTAGTTTCGGCGAATAACGCGGGAAGAGAACCGGGAAAGTGCTCTTAATCCGAACTTCGCCGCTGTGCTTCGGGTCGGGAATACTAATATTTAATCGGCGACGCAGTTTGAAGCACCGTCGTCGGTTTGCGCTTCGTAACAACGAGCGAGCGAGCGTCGGATTAACGTATCTTGACGTAATGTTTGCCGTATGACGGGGATTCTTAGAAAATCGAGATTTACGGCGCCGAGCCGCATAAAATCGACGTACACGCCCCAGCGCCCCGACAAAAATCTATAAAAGCACGCGAGAGCTAGCGAGCTTCGTAACTTGAGCCCCGTCGCTTTCTGCGCGAAAAATGAATCACGGCTTGATATTTCGCGAAACGCGACTCGCGAAAAAACATCTCGTGAATCGTGAGACCCTCCGCAAGGTTGGTCGAGTAATTGAAGAACGCTATGCGTGAAAGAAACCAAGTGTGTTGCATACTCTTAAACTCATCATTGCGTAAAACACAAGGCTCTCAATCACGCCAAGATCATTAATAATAATTGTAAAAGTATTTTCAAAGACTCGTAGATTTGCGTTTACAAATATTATAATTTTGATTTATAAGTTTCTACACACACTTTATTTTCTGTTCGAAGAGAATGATGCGAACAATTCTCCGAAATAATATGACGTATCTTCGCGACCGAGCGGGAGAAAAGAATAAGACTAAAAAACATTGTTGTTGACATTGCTACAGTTATTGACAAGCCATTAATTTACGTACTTTTATAAGTTTCCACCGTAGTAAATGTAAAGCTGGAAAATTTACGATGCCGAAGAACTTCCTGCTCTTGAAAGCAACTCAGTAAATTTGCTTTCATATGTTGGCATGGCTTGTCGTGTGCATCGACACAACTTTGGAGATACTTTTCCTATTTAATGATAAATAAATCAAAGAGATACAGGCTTGCAAAGTAATTTCATTATAATTCAAATATCACGTCAGGTGTTCTAAGACATACAATATAATATTATCTTACAATTTTTCTCTAGAGAGATTGAAAATACATCTCGAAAATAGAACAGCATTGATAATCGATAACCTTCAAACTGTCTTATTTTTTTGCTTGCGATCAATTTATTAATTTCTAATTTCGTATATAACAGAAATTCACATGAAAACAAAATCGTCTTTTAGCATTTTGTTATGATAAAACAGAAAGAAAATAATAAAGTAATAAATTTAAAAAAATAAACCATATATATATCAATAAAATATTTGATGAATTGCTTATTTTATCATTTTCTTTCTGTTGCGCCATAAAATCTGAAAAGACAATTTTGTTCCCATATATCCCATAGAAGTAAGTCTACAGAGATTGGCAGTGGCATCTTTGGCCGTCGGTGGCGACAACCGGAAACGTCGCGCGGGATCCTCTCGCTGGCGAATCGCGGAAAATCCGAAGACGAGATGAGACGAGACGAGACGAGGCTGCCACGACGAGTGGGAACACGTTTCGAAGGGGTGTTTTTGCACGGCGGAAGTTTTAACGCAATTACACGAGCGACTCCTGGCGCCTCTCCTTCGTGCCTCTGTCCTCCTTCTCTACCCTTCGTGACACTCTCGATCCCCTCCTCTTCCCTCCTTACCTCAGGTTCTCCCCTCTGGTCCTCTCATCCTTCGCCGTCGCCGCCGCCGCCGCCGCCGCCACCCTCGCAACCGCCACCCATCACTTCCTCGCCCACGAACCTACTTTAGCTCGTACTTTATCTTTATCTGTTTTCCACCCCCTCGTTCTCTTGCTCCTACCCCTCCTCTTCCTCTTTTCGCCGCGCCCTCTCCTCCTCTCGTCACACTCTTCCCTCGCCGCGCACGTCATTCCGCATTATTTTCATTTTATCGTCAGCAATCTTGGTTAATGCAATACCCCCCGTCGTCCGGGAACCCTTTTTTATTTTGCGTTTGAATATTCTATCGCGTTACCGCGCCGTGGAAACCTCGCGGCTGGAGGACGGGGAGGCGGGAAGGAAGGGGGACGACACCCCGGAACCCGATGGCGTAGCACTTTACTTCCGTGCGATAAAGATCCTCTTGGCCTCGCCTTCGAACCGACGTGGCATGAGCTCATCCGAACTGAGAAGAGATTCTCTCGCACGATACTGCTGTTGCAAACAGATTCTTTTTATTTTACTTTAAAGAAAAGAATATTTGTCGGAGGAACTTGTTCTTTTTTTCTTTTTTGTTTTTTGATCGATTTAGTGAGTCTTGATTCTTCATCTCTGCGTGTAATTTAACATCTATATATACAGTGAAAAAACTTTATTATGTAATGAATGAATAGCATTCGCAAACATTTGAGTTATTGCTTGCATATTTAAAGTTAGTTTCCAGAGTTATTAGCGTTGTTGTTTAAACTTATCGAATAATTCTTACTGTTAGACTCATTCTCAGAAATCTTGTTGTGATAATTATTATTTTTTTTTAATTAAATGTTAATAAACATATCAAAGAGAGAGTTTCTTTCGAACAATTTTTTTCCTTTTATATATTATTGCGACTAGATACTTGGAATCGGAAAGTCTCGCGCACAATCGAAACGCGGCTACAATTTAATTCGGAAGTAATCCTTCGACCGATTCGGAGATCGCTCGAGGTGGACGGAGCGTCTTGTTCGAAAGCATCCCCTCGGCGAGATTCGCATCGATCGAATACGCATCTTCCGCGACGGACATTCCTCAGAGCAGACGCGAACCCGTCGCCACCGCCGTCGTCGTCGACTTACTTTCCGCGAGTCACCGCGTACATGGCCGGGCGCAAGACGTCGCTCGACGTAGTATCGATCGCCAGATTAATTTGTAGTCCAGACAATGGGCCGCCATCTCTGCCGTCTCCGGCGATACATCGAACGTAACGTTACGTTGTTTCGTCCGCGTCTTTAGTACCAATCGGTGCACCTCCCCTTTGCGCCGGAAATAAAACAAGCGGGATGATTCTGCCGAGAGATATCACGCGCCTTTATACCGCCTAAGATATTTCCAGCTTTCCAGGATCTTATCTTCGCTTTCGAATACCGTGTATGACGAACTTTTTCTCCTTCCGACGCGCGTGAAATTTTAGTACCCTTGGCAATAGAGCGTCACATTTTGCATCCGCATCGACACGAATTCCCAAAGTTGCATTTACATAATTGGATAATTTATTTTAGCTGAACGCTCGTATTTTATTTCAAGATAGCTCATCTCATATGCTATTTAAATGCGAATTTCAAGAAATGTAAATGTAAAGAAATAGCATGTTAATATATAAGATATATCAGTAAGATAAATATATATCAGTAAGATAAATATATATCAATAAGATAATATAGATAAGTTAAAAATGTTTAACTTTTACTATTGATCGAGAATAAATGTAACCATTTTTTTTTCAAAAGAAAGAATTTCATTCGCGAGAGAGATTAAGATGTACAAATTCTTCGCAACGATGAACGCACCCTCGGTTGGGTAAGCGTCTCGAGTCAGCTGCCTATCGCTTGCATTCCGAAGCTGGCCTTCCGCAGCTCGGTAGCGGCGACGCATTCGGCCGTTTCTCGCGCACATTTCTGGGCCTTTTTTATCTGATCCAGACCACAATGCAGGTATCCGCCCGCTTATCCGGCCGTGCACACTTCCGGGTATAAATGCAGAATGACGAAAGCAAATTTCCCTAACGATTTTGATCCCTTTGAATGTGCGATCTTTCACGATAATAAATTCTCACCTGTCATTTTTTTTCGAGGAGCTCTTTTTTTTTCATAAATAAACCCAAGCCAATTTTTATTACGTCCAATAATTTCTCTTCAGCTCTCCGATGTCAATTTTTATTATTTATAATTAATAATTTCTTTTCAGCTCGTCTCTGATGCGAGATGTGTCCGTACGTTTCTGAAAGAAGATCGGTGCGCCCCCGTTTGAAGACAAGCTCTTTATTTTTCCTCGTTTTTGCGACGTTTACGCGACACAATGGTGGGAAATTTTCTTCCGGAAGTAGCGCTCCTCCTTGCGACTTCTGCCTCGCGAAAGCGGAAAGGGATTCAGCAGGTAAGTGTGAAATGCAAGCGGTGTGAAACTCGTTCGGCGATCGACACGCGCGTGTGTTGCACCGCCACCTTCTTCGAAACGCAATCTCGTCGGCACAATAGAGTATAGAATTTTTAATACGCCGCCAGGTAATGCGAAACGAGGCGCGAGACAATGGCTCTTTCTCGGGACTGATTCGCGCTCCTTTATCTTGACCTGGCGTTTCCTATACGAACCGATACGGTCGCCATCATCGCGAGACTTGGGCGTCGACAACGCGCGAAATTCGCGAACGCATTCATTACATCAAAGTGATCCCACATGTGATATTACGTATGTATCTTTTGACGAAGTGAATTTTCTAAACGTCGCCACGCGAGTGAATAAATTTGCATAAAGAGTAAAGCGTCTTTTTTAAATCTATAACAATTTTGCATTTATGATGTGTCTCAAAGCAAGATCCGAGATATGAAACAAAAGAAACCGTACAAAATGTATACGGTTTATGCGCATTTTATATAATCGTCTCATTTTAATAATACGCATATTTCGCATTCCCAGTGGAAATCTTCGAATCAGGCCGAATGAATCAGATTGCCTCAGAAATTTCCGCGACATGAGTCATCGACATAAACGAAATTATATTTCTGCCGTCTAATGGCAACCGCTTATGTGTATTAACATTCGCCAGGCTGGCGAACAAATTCGTACGCGCGCGCGCATGACTCAGCCTCGCTAGAGAGAGAAAGATACAGCCGTTAGAATATATAAATACATAAAGCATTCGCGTCGTACACCGACGCGTCGATTAATCTTCGTGATATCTCGATCGATCCGCGCGAGATGACGGACGGAATCGCGCCCGTTGCCGCCACCGTCGCCGCCGCCGCCGCCGCCTTTCGTCTCGATACAAAGATATATATAGATATAGGCTGCTGCATTTTTCCGGTTATCAGATTTTCCCCAGGGATATAAGGCGGTGCATTTTCGATTATCTCTGACATTATTTTAGGATAGAATACATGACCTTGTCGAATTTTCGATATAAATTTCACGAGATATTTTCTATAAAGCCAGTGAGATTTCGTGGAAAATAATTATGTTACGATGATAAATCCGGCTTCCCGAAAGTCGTATAAGATTCAACGGCGTGATAAAAATATAATAAAATCTCAATCTTTCTTTTTCAACAATTTTAAGTGAAATTTATTATGCCTTAGATCGAATATAAAAAGAGAATTATAATGTAAACTTTTATCGAAATTTTCTCAAAGTTATAATCGGTTCCAGTCCTGTTATTCTCTATAATCTTCAAAATTGCAAAGACATATTTATAATTAATGCTACTCGAAAATATTATACAATTTAAAAATGTACCACTTTAGTGCATGTGAATATTTCCGCGAAAATCTGTGCGCGCCGCAAAGGACAACAGGACATGTACGCGGAGTCTCGCCCTTGATATCCCATTAGGCGAAATTATAAGCTGAACGACTCGCGGGAATAAAAAAGGTCAGAGGGCGCGGAACAGAAGGATAGGAGGGGGAGGGGGGGGGGAGAGAGACAGAGACGCGCGCAAATTTCTATACGGCGATTACGGGGGCGGGGCATTATTGCATCTATTATTTCCGCAGGTTGCACGCGCCCATTATTCCTGGGGAGGCTGTCTCTCTCTCTCTTTTTCTCCCTCTTTTTTTTTTTTATTTTCGGCTCGATGTCAGCGCCGGGGCGAAAGCACCCGGATGTGTAGCAACGAACGACGAGGGTTTCATCGACGAGGACGCGCAGAGGACGGAAGGGGGACACAGCGGGGGTGGAGGTGGGGCCTGGGCTGCTGCCGGTACCGTAATCGAATATCCTAGAATTTAATTTCTATCGGTTCGTCCCGCGCGTCCGACTTTCATATCGCGCTTTTTTGCGACAGTCATTAAATCTAATTTATCGTGACGCTCGCGTTTTTCAGGCATGTGCGCGACGGCCTCCCTCCGCTCTCCTCTCTTCCATGTTCGCCGCCCTCGGCAGCGGCGTAACGCGGCCTGAAAAAAAAACGGGCCCCTTGGCCGAGTTCCCTCCTGCCCTTTCCCTCCCCAGAGTGTACTGTCGCGGTGCAACGATCGCACGCTCTCTTCCTCTCGTACGTATACGTGTAATTCTTCCCTTTGTAATTGAATACTATAAATTAATCCTTTGATTTATCCTTTGATGCATCCGTTTCGTATTTCATGCGCGCTACTGAAGCGATCAACAATCGCTACTTTGTATGGTAGAGGTTGATAAGCGCGGGCACACAAAGAAATTGCACGCTGTCGCTCAATTTAATGAAAAGCCCAATTTTCCTCGTCCAAACTCCAATTATATTTCATCTCTCTCTTGTGTACGAAACGGGAGAGAGTATCGCGCGCGATTACGATCAAATTACAATCGCACAAATTACTTGAAGATACGGAAAAACTTTGCTTGTCATTCATCGTACACTCGAGCGTACAGTTTACTCTACAATCAGAAAAGCTTCTTTCAACCCGGTCAATGTTCCTTTTTGTCTTTCATCCGCGAGAGCGATGCGTACCGCCAAAGTGCCACAATTCTGCGCCGATATGTAGATAGTCCCGACGTTTGGAAGAGTTAGCCGTGTCGCGCGTAAAAGGTACATCGCGCTCCCGAAAGCGATCGGGAGAAAAAATTACGAACGCGTCGCGCTATCATCTACCGCGCGGAGCGGCTTCTTTTTTTTTTCTCTCCCCCTCGCTCGCGTCGTCCCCGCGGCTCACTGGCAGAGGTCCAAAGGACGAGCGGTCGCGCGCGCGGCCGTTGATCGATCGCTGATCGAGCGGAAAGAGGAGTAGAGGTAGGTAGATAGGTAGATAGAGGTGGAGAGGCGCAGCATCACGCTCGACTCTCTCTCTCTCTCTCTCTCTCTTTCTCTCTCATCGGCCTGCTCGCTCGCTCGCGCGCGCGCAGATAACGACGAGAGGTTATAAATCTCCTTCCGGTCGGAATCGGGAGCGAAGCAATCTGCGGAATGGTCCGGTCATCCGTCCATCAAGTCGCGCGCACCGCGACGTGCAGTCCACGTATTAATATATATCTGCGGGGGCGGTTGTGCGCGTGCATAGAGCTGCGTGAGACGTGTGTGAGTCTCTGTACTGGGTGTTCGAGAACGAATATTACGTATCATAAGGGAAGACTCGACGGACGCCAAAACCGAAGCAAAAGGCGAAGAGTATAACAATTGACTATCGTTAAAATTTATCGTATTAAAAGACTTATCTAGCCCGTTAAAGACGATTAAAATGAGAAGCAATCTCTTTATACATTATTGTTATTAATTTGCTCAATTTATTAAGAATTTAACTATATTTTATATGTTGTATACAAACATGAGAATATCTCTCTCGGCGTTGTTAAAAAATAATTTTTTCCTCAAAGTCTTTAAGTTCAATTCTTCTTTTCGTATTGTCAAAGTTTTTGATTTCAACGTTAAACATTCTCGTAGCTAATTAAAACGCAGATTTTTATTGACGTCAAAATTATCTCCTCCCCAATCTCTAATCGTTCGCAGCATAGATACCCTCGTGATACCAAATGTCGGGGGGAAAGATTTTTACTAAGTTCTCGTATTATCTTTGATTGAGTCGCGCACCATATGGTGCTCCCGGGACACACTGTATACACGACCGCGTGTATACGTGCACGCGTGTCGCCCTGTACATATATACGCGCGCGGTAGCGGATGCACCGTGCATGCCGCCGTGACTGCAAGGACCGCTCTCTGTTTCTCTTTCTCTCGCTCTCGCATCGTCCTCCGTCCCTGTCGCTCGTTCTAGTCCGGTATTTATGCGCGTTTCGATGGGAAAAGGCAGCGCAACTCGGACGCGACGCAAGATAATTTCTGATTTACCGCGAGCTCGCCGGAGCTGTCGCCCGCCGTACATCGCGCGGAGATCCGTCCTGCGCCGCATTTTCGAAATGGAAACCCACCTCCGCCTCCTCCTCCTCCCCCTTCCCCCTCTCACCCCATCCCGAATCCGCCGTCGCGATAGCGTTCCGGCAACGTTCGTTCGACGGAACTCGAAAAGGAAAAAAAAATGAGAACGCTGCGTATGCTCGGAAATCGGATGTGATCGTGAAAGCTAGATCGGCTGGCAAATTTGGTCGTTTCAAAAAGCCGAAGCTGCAAAAATGGGTTATGTAAATAAGGAATGAGACGCTTTTAACTCTTTCGAGATAGAAGGTTGTAACTTCCATTCCGTTATTAGAATTCTGGACGGTCGGTTTATTAGATAAGCGAGTATTGAAGCTTTTTCTTCCCGATCTCGATGGTTCTGATTTTAATATTATATTTTTACGCGTATAATCTAGATGTACGTTAGTAGACGCGAAACACACGTAAGTCAAACGAAGCTCGACGGAAATAATACATATAGCGATTCTTGGAGGGGAAGGTGAAGGGGAAGTAATGCTGAACCCCCTTATAAGATCAGCATTTTTCCGGAACAGCGACTGTGCGTGATGATGAACGATAAAGAGGTTCGCTTCCCTTTGCTTTCCACGCCGCCGCCGACGCCGTCGTCGTCGTGCATCAGGAACAAACGCGATGTACCTCTGTGCTGCATTTCTGATCGAACCTAGTGCACGCAACGGCCGTTCCGCGGAATTTCAGAATGTAGGGGAGGGAAGGGGGGATTAAACGATCTCCGATATAAATGCGCGCCCGGCCTTTCTTAACGGCAGCGATTTGCTTCGAGATTAACTCGTAACTGATCGGACGTCGAGAGTGTCCGTCAAGATTCGTCTCGTAAACCGAGATTTCGGATATCTGGATAATCGCTAATCAGGAATCGTTTTTCACCTCCGACTCGATTATTTGCCGCTCGTATAAAACAAGAATAAAATAATGTATCTTTTTAATCTTAATTATTCGTCACGTCAGATATTAATATTAAATGTTATCCATGATGCATACACGATTACTCCTTCGTGCTAGTTAAATTGTCGCTTGTTTTTCCTCGATGTCGATATAG